CACAGCTCCGTGCATTCATCCTGTGGAATGGGGGGTTCAGCAGGTGAGCGCCGTGCAGATTAAAGGTGACTCCTCTTCCCCATATTTTGCTCTGCTCCTCACTTTGTCCTTGCCCAGGGAAACAAGGAAGCTTTCCCTGGAAGTTTTTTGAGGGATGTGTTCTCAAAGCCACTCTTTTTGCTTCTGGGGCTCTGGTGCTGCTCTGTGATGTCAGGTCATAGTTTGGAGTGCACCTGCAGGAGAAGAGCCATTCTGTGCCTAAACTAACGTAGATTTAAGGCTCCTGTCACAACATTTGTGTGCAGTAAACAAACACCTGGGGAGCCCCCAGGTGAGTGTGGGGTTTTGCTCTGTGGTTAAGTGGCTGCACTGAGGGCCGAAGGGGCTGTGAGGGGCTCCTTGGCCCTAAATGCAGCCTTTGGGTTTCACCTTGAGGGGGTAAGGAACAACCAGAAGCACTGCAGCTCAGCAAGACCCAGCACAGATCTTTCCCTCTCAGCCCATTTGGTGAGTGCTGCTGCAGCCCCGTGCTGGCCCACGTGAGCCCAGACAGTGCTGGGGGGAGCAGATGGGCTGGAGTAGGATTAGGGGGAGGCTGAGGGGGGCAGTGCTTAAACCCCAGGATTACACATGGTTAATCCCTGGGATTACGCTGTAAATGCTCTGCAGTGGAGACGGGGAGGGCCCTGCTCAGCCCATGCTGCCAACACCCCCACGACCCAATCCTCCTGAAAACCAAACCCCAAAACAAGGCAGGGAAACTGCCCCTCCACCCCACAGAAATGATGGCAGCAGCCCCCCTTGCAAGAGGACTGTGCTGGGAGAGCCACGAGGACATGGGGTAAACAACAAGGTATGAACTCACACCAGAGACGTTTAGGGATGCTTCACCCGTGGGGATCCCCAGTTTGGATCTGCTGCTGGGAACTTCTGCCCACGGTGTCACAGGACGGTGCTGAGCGTCTCCTCCTCCCCCAGGCTCGGCCGCCGGCAGGGCAGTGCCCTCAGGTACTCGAGGTGCAGGCGGGTATCAGCACGGCTCCTTCTCACGTAGCGTCCCACGTAGGCGAGGACGGCACCGAGCCACCCACCCACGGCCACCAGCATGGCCACATCTGGCACCCGTGGCTGCCTGCTCCCTGCCAGGGTCTCATTGCGGCTGCTGGCAGTGGGGGGAAGGCTCTGGGACCCCCCCCAAGGGCAGCGGGAGCCTTGGGGGCAGCAGGGCAGTCCCAGAGCCAGCAGGAACAGCCAGGCTGCCTGCATCGCCCTGCAGCGGGAGGCGGGGAGAGAGGGGGGGGTCCATGTCCTCCCCAGGACAGCTGGGCTGGTGACGTTCCCCTCCCAGGGGCAGCTGGGATGGGGGGAATGGGGATGGTGAGGCTGCACCTGCTTCTGCACCCCAGTGTGTGAACTTTTGCAACCCCATGTGCTCCCCCTGTGCCCCATGGACACCTCCAAAGCAGCTCCCACTACAGCTCCCACTACCTGACTAGCAGATGCATTGGGAACACACTGGTTTTTACTGGTGTTGGCAGCCAATACATAATGGACCAGACTTCAGAACACTGAATCCTAAAAGCTTTTTGGTCTGCTCTGTGCTCTCGCATCAGTCCAACGCTGTAACTGGGACCAGTGGCACCCCCAGCTCACAACACAGCTGCTTTGGTGTCCTACTGTGACCATGCCAAGCAGGAATGTCAGCCATTCCCAGCAAGTCCATGGGAAGTCCTGGCACAGGCAACTCATTGGGGATGGCCCCTGCAGGGGTGGGGAACTCATCCGCTTTGTGCTCCCACCCCTTGCAGTGCCAATGTCCTCCGGGCCATCTCCAAAGCCCCCTCCCTCGTACGGTTGCCTCCGATGAAGCCACTGGAGTGCACGAAGACACAACCGGGAATGCCGGTGAGCTGAGACAGGGCCTCATCACGAACACCCCGCCATGGCTCGGGGAGAGGAAGGCTGCAGTGGTGGGAAAAGGGGCAGAGGGTGAGATCCTGCCCCCTCCTGGCAGGGGATGTGCTGGGGATGGGGCTCACCGGCTCTCGAAGCTGCGTGGCCCCACCGGGACGCTCTGCACCCGCCACTGCCCGCTGCGGTCAGGGAAAAGCACCAGCTGGAGTGGGTTGGGCAGTGCCAGCTCCTTCTCCAGGCTGAAGAGGTGCTCCTTCCAGGGGCAGCCGCCCTGAGGGAGCTCCAGCATCACCCCACTTGCATCCACCTGGAGAGGGAACACGATGTGGCTGCGTGGTGGCATATGTGGTACTGCCCTGTGCCCTAGCATTGCCCTGTGCCTCAGCTTCTCCCCCATTCACGTGCATTTTTCCATCTGAATAGAACAGCACCCCCTCCAAACGAGACCCTGCGCTGTGGGGATGCACCACCATCTGTTCACGGTGCATGGAGAGTGGTGGTGGAGTGTGGGAAGCAACGTGACAGTCTGTGGTGTTACAGGGGTGAATAAAGGGGAGTGCATGTGGCTATAAGAGTACAGAGAGAGAAACAGGGTGCACAGCCATGCCCTGAGCTGTGTGGGGTGATTAAAACCAAGGGGACCTGGCCTCCCTTTGCCCCAGAGTTCCACCCACCCTTTAAACCCCCCCAAAACAAGTATAGGGAGCACCTCAAAGCGGCGCCGGATGGCATCCTCCACAAGCACCCGCGCAGGCAGCCAGGCACGGTGATAGTAGTCGAGCCTGTCCATGAATTCACTGCCCACCAGCTCCATTGCCCGCTTAAACCCAGCCTGGGGATGCAGCAGAAGATCAGCAGTGACCCCAAAGAACGCAGCTCTGCGTTCCCCCTTTCCCACGTGTCCCCACCTCAGTGTCTTGGTCGGGGTCGTTCCAGCGGGGGTTCAGGTGCCCCACGCGGGCGCTGAGGTTGGTGGTGAGGGCGTAGCGGGGCTCCCCGTCCGTCTGCGCAATGCCGTTGTCAATGGCATCAATCTCCTCCACGAAATTCTCATAGAGCTTGGGGACAGGATAGGGTCAGAACACCTGGAACCTAACCCCTCTTATGCGGTGGTTTCCCCAAGGGAAAGTCATGCTGCTGGGTCACAAATCCCCTTACCTTATCGTAGAGTGCAGTCACAACGGGGCTGTCCTCTGGCTGCTCCAGAAGCTCAGCAAGGATTTGGGAGCCAAAGTGGCAATAAACCAACCCAGCGCTGCTCAGTTTTGTGGTCCAGGGTTTGCTGGGCTGGAGGCTCCGCATGGACTGGGTGAAAGACCTGTGGGGTCACAGGGTCAGCCCTTGGGGGGGGCTCCCTTATGTGATGACCCCAATGTGGTGGAGTGCCTCACCTCTGGTGATGGTCGTAGCGGTGCCTCTCGGGGTCATATTCACCCCCCACATCCACCACCACATCGCACTGGGCCAGGCGCTGGGGGTCCCGTGTCCGCACCACCTCTGCGTCCTGCGGAGGCATGGAGTGAGGCTGGGGGGGCTCAGAGTGGGACTGGGGAGGCCGGGGACCTCAAAGGGGAAATGGGGACACAAGAGCAGGCACCACGTGGGATTGTGTACCCCAACAAGGAGCTGGGGAGCCCAGTGTGGCCCCAGTGAAGGACTGGGGACCTGAAAGCGTCCTTCAGGTGGGACCAAGGATTCTGACAACGGCCTGGGGACCGCAGGGTGGGACCTAATTGAGACTGGTGACTTCAGCAGGGGGCCGGGGATACGGGAGCGGTCAGTGGGTGAGACCGGAGGCATTATAAGGGAAATGAGGGCAGGAGCGGCCCCCAGCGGAGGCTGAGGACCCCAAAAGGAGGCTGAGGACCCCACTGTGGCCCCAATGAAGGATGGGGGTCATGAAAACGTCCCCCACGCGGGCCGGGGAACCCAGGGAGGTTCTTCAGTGGCACTGCGGGCACCAGCAGGGCCGGGGGACCCACGGGCGGCCCTGAAGAAGGGCGGCACCCGAAGGGTGGGACCGGGCCCGGGTGCAGAGGGGCCCGAGGAGGCCGCGGCCGTACCCGGTAGCGCGGCAGGAGGCGCAGCAGGAAACACGCCAGCGCCTCGTCGCAGTGGAAGGTGCCGTCGTGGGTGCCGATGCGCGGAACCGGATCCGTTCGGGCCCGCTTGGACCCGGCCCCGCTCCCGGCGACGGCGGCAGCCATGAGGGGAACGGCGCGCAGAGCGCCGCGCATCACTGCGCATGCGCGGCTCCGCCTCCGCGACACGCATGTGTACTGCCTCCCTGACACTGCGCATGTGCAGCACAGCCTCCACACCGCCTTTTGACTGCGCATGCGCATGTCTCGTCCTACCGCCCCTCCCCGCCCTTTTGATCTGCGCACGCGCCGGCTCAGCCTGCCACGCCCTTTCGCACTGCGCATGTGCGGTTCCGCCCCGCCCTGACCCACCCGCGCATGCGCACAGCGCGGGGTTTTGGACACGTGGAGGGGCGGTGACGTGGGGACACGGGGGGGGGCAGGTGGGAAGGGGACGGTGATACGGGGCTGCGGGGAGGGGAGCTGGAAAGACACCACAGCGATACGTGGGGACACGTACACGGGCACACGGGGATGCGTAAGAACATGGGGACAGAGGGACATGCGGCCACGGAACAGCCTGGACAGACAGAAGGACACCTAGAACAGCCCCACCCAGACACAAACCCGGATAGACGGACACGGAGGGACGCACGGACACTGCCAGCAGCTCCACACAGACCCGGACAGACAGACACAGCCCCACAGCGCAGCCGGTGCTGCTCCCATGCCACGTTTATTTGCACGGAGATGGAGCCCCGCTGCTCCGTGTGCCCCCCCCGCGCAGCGCCCATCCCCAGGCACTGTCCCCAGGTCCGGCTGCTTGCAGGGTCCCCACCCCCAGCTGTCCATGCAGGGGATCGTGACCACTGTGTGTCCCCGGACACGGTGCTGCCTGGGGTCCCACCGAAGCACTCAGCTCCCGCTGCTCCTCTGCATTTCAAAGTCCCAAATCCGTCCTCGCGGTGGTGCTGCTCCCACTGTCCCCTCCTGAAGGACCAGAGATAGCTTCAGTGGGGTCAGAGGGGATGGGGCACCCTCCAGAGCTCCAGCATTGCACAGGAAACCTCAGCGTGCCCAATTAGCTCTGGCCGGCCTCATTAAGGTGACGACAACAGACGACACCCTCACAGGATGCTGTCAGCAGTGGGGCTGATGTGGGACACAGGGTGGCAGTAGTGCTGGGAACACACATCACAGCCCGGCCGGCTGGTCCTGGCTGTGGTTCCCTTCTCCAACCTCTCACCACTGTCTGTGGGGCTCCGAGGAGCAGCCTCAGCATTTTCCTGCAGGGATCTGGGGTGTGCAATTCCATCAGCATCACCTTTCCCAAATTGGGGGTGAGCGTAGGGGTCCCTCAGGTTCAACAGATGCCATCGATGGTTCCCCAGTGCCACGAATCTGCAAAACCTGAACCTCTCCTTCCGAGCAGCCCCAGTTTCTGGTCAGAAAGAAATGGTTCAAGGCAGCCCAGCCTCAAAACATCCATAAAGGGATAAGTCAGCTCTTGCAGACAAGTGAAAAAAACACTCATGGAGGGGGGGGAAATGCACAGATCTGGGTCTGCAGCGAGCAAACCTCATCCGCCGTGGCTAAGAAAACAAAGCAGGACCTGCAGTAGTGTGAAACAAAACTATGTACAACCTCCTCCCGGGGTCACAGCCCCCCTCTCAGGGCCAAGGCTGACTTATCCCTTTACACATGGGTTCTCAAACGGCTGGAATCAGGAGATCTCGTTGCCGAAAACCTCGAGCACCAACGGCGTGAGCTGCATGCTGTGCTCGGGCTGGAAGGAGAGGCAGCGGTACTGCTTGGAGTGCTCCTCGTTGAGGCTGCGCAGGTCGGCCAGCTTCTGGATCATCTTGGCATACAGCAGGCGGCTGCCTGGCGGGGGGTGCCTGCAGCGGATGTAGGTCTGCAGGATGTCCGACAGGCGGTCCTGGATGGACTCCACCAGCGAGGTGTCCTGAACGCCGGGTCGATCTAGGGAACACCAGCATCATCAGATCGGCCCTTGGAAAAGATCTTGGAGGTTATTGAGTCCAGCTGTTAGCCTGGCACTGCCAGGCTTGGGGACATTGGTGGAGCCTTCGTGCTGCCAAAGGTGCAGGGTGGGGAGCTTGGGGATGAGCGTCCTCCTACCTGGGGACAGGATGCAGATGGCCATGAGGAGCACGTGCTCTTCCTCGTGAAGGTTCAGCTTCTTCAAGCCCACCTGGAATTTCACGAGCGGCTCGAGGAGCTCCATGCTGTGGCCGGCTGAGGACAGAGAGGAGCTGTTAGCACCTGGATGAGACCTCAGATCTGCAGCTGAGAGATGAGCGCGGAGCTCAGCACCTCCTCCTTCAGTGCAGCAGAGCGTCAGGATCACAGGATGCCAGAGGATGATTTTCAATAGAGCTTTAAAAACATGATTTCTTTCAATCTTTCCTCCCCAGCCGCATCTTTAAGGCAGGAGATTATGGAGCAGATGACTTCAGAAAGACAATTAACCTACAGGCAGTTTGCATCCTTATCACTCCCACACTGCACCACGTTGTGCAGAAACACCAAAACACATTTTGCGTGCCCACAGCACGCAGCAAGCAGATCCCATCCCTGCCCTCTGTGGCCCCACGCCTGGTTCCGATGTGCTGTTTGCTCTGCCTGGCTTCCTTGGGATCTCTCTGGGGAACCTCTGCCCTTGCACCAAGGATCTCAGCATCCCAGGGTTACTCCAAGGCTCTTCCCAGTGCTGGGAGAGGTTTAAGATCCACCTGAATATCTGCAGTTTACTCAGTACGGTTTTCTTACACCTGAATTTCAGGCTGGGGTGCTGTTTTTGAGCCCTCACCAGCAGCCCAGCAGCACCTTTACCTTGGGTGACATCGCTGACTTTGTACTTGAAGTCATTGCTTCCACAGGTCCATGACATGTCCTCCATGGTGAAGGACTGGTTGGAGCGCAGCATGATCACCTCAATGGCACTGGATTTCAGCAGGGCAATCTGGTCCTCTGCAGTCAGATCCCTGCGGGCAGGAATGAGGAGATGTCCACAACCAGAGGCATGATCCAGCTTCTCCCTCACCCTGAATTTCTGGGTAATTAAGCAATGGGTATTTCTGCAGCTCCATGTATCGAGTGGCAGCACCCAGTGCCCTGGGCTCCAGGCTGACTCTTACTGGGCTGGCGTTAAATGGGATCTCAGGACATCTTGCACAAGCAGGATGAGCACCACTCACATGGCCTTGAGCATCCTTCTCAGGAGCTCAGGCATTTTGTTTACGTGGCCAGGGTGAATCCAACTAAAGATTAAAGAGGAAAAACCCCAGGAAGGGAGAGGGAAGGAGAACAAGAAGGTAGGAACAGACCTGGGAAGGAGAACAAGAAGGTAGGAACAGACCTGGGAAGGAGAACAAGAAGATACGAACAGACCTGGGAAGGAGAACAAGAAGGTAAGAACAGACCTGGGAAGGAGAACAAGAAGGTAGGAACAGAACTGGGAAGGAGAACAAGAAGGTAAGAACAGAACTGGGAAGGAGAACAAGAAGGTAAGAACAGAACTGGGAAGGAGACAGAGTGAAATGGAGATAAATGACTGTGGAGGCTGAGACTGAATTCCTGAGAGCAGAAAACCATCGCGGGCACCTGGCGTGGGGACAACATCTCACCTGAATCCAGGGATCATTTTGGCGAAGCCGATCACCTTCTGTATGCTGTAGCTGACCAGGTCAGCCAAATGTGGGAGCATAGGGAGGTGGGGCAGCTCGATGCTCATGGAGGGGCTCTCATCGCTCTCCTCGGAGAGGTCCAGGTTGGAAAACATCTGGGGCTCCATGGGCTCTGGAAAGAGGGAGGTGGACCATATGGGTGAGATGCTACAGGGACAGGGAGGGGTGTCAGCCCGAAGCAGGGATGGTGTCTGTTGTGCTGGGAGGTCTTTGTGTTGGGCTGGGAGAGCCCAACACCAGCTGTAGGATTTTTGCAGAGGGATTTTTAGTTTAGGTCTAACCATGCAACATAGCTCATGGTCCCGATGCAGCCAAGCACTTAATGCTCTCCGCTCATCAGGAGCCTTCTAAACACCCTCAGGAGGCTCTTAGAGTCAAATGCATTCCCTAGGAGAGCTGACACAACTGTTTCTTCCTTGGCCAAGCTTAGAAAAGTCTCTTCCCCTTCTGCTCCCATAGCATACGGATGCCTGGAATGCTGCACAGAGAGCTGAGTGCAATACCTGGGAATGCACCAAAGGCATCGGAGCCAAAAACATCATTGGAGTCCTCGGAGGAGCAATCTTGGGACATGACACAGGAGGAGTGCGTTGCTGTCCTGCTGCTGACTTTGCTTCTCACGGGGGGCTGGAAGAGAGAGCGGGGTGTGAGGAATGGGGCTGGGAGAGCAGCTTGAGGGGAGCACTGAGATATTTGCACCGGGTTTTATTGGCACGAAACTGATGAAATTCTTGGAGCTGCTGGTGCTGAGGTGGGAATCGGGGCTGTTGTGCCCCCAACGTACCCGAAACTTGTTGAAATCGGAGTATGTGGTGTCGAAAGTTTTGTGGTGGGCCTCGAGGAGGATGTCAATGACTTTCTGCTGCTCCTCCGACAGCTTGGGCTTCAGGCTCTCCTTCAGTGCTTCCTCCTCTTTGCGCTTCAGGATCATCTCACGCTTCCTCTGCACCTCCTCATCCGTCAGAATGACTGCAGGGATGGAAGGAAAGAGCAAAGGGTCACAGATAGGCACTGAGACCGAAGCACATCCCTCAACGTTGCTAATGAGTTATTGAACCTGCATCGACCCTATTACTGAACCCGTCCTCGTCTGCTGGGTCACGGCTCCCTGCTATGCATCATTTATGGCCCATTTGGGTGCTGTTGGGTGCAGTCAGGTCACGTCAGCACCGCCACGGGTTTGCTCCAGACCTCACTGTTTGCTTTTTGCTCTGTGCTTTCGGGTGAAAGAAATCTCGAGATGTGGGCCAATGGGTTCATCCACGCTGCTCTCAGCTCTGACAACAGCACAGTGCGGTGGGCAGCAGCATCACAGCTGATTTTAAGCTGAGGGGACACACAGACACGGTGGTGATGGATGGTGGTTGGACCAGATGATCCTAGCGGCCTCTTCCAACCTCAATTATTCTATAATATATCAATTTATTGCTTGTATTATGAGCAACAGCCTTCAGCAGCAGCCAAGGGTCGGGTCCAAAGGCAAAAAGCAAAGCTTCTCCCATTTATTAGGGATGTGGGAACATCCAAAGGCAATTTGTGCTCCAATGTGACCCTGATAAAGAACCTAAAGACCTGAAGAGCCTCACAGGGTTGGAAAAGCAACAGCAAGCACCCACCCTTGCACCCAATGGCTCGTTAACGCTCCCAATCAGCAAAGCACATCCACTGGTGGGTGCTATAAATAGCAGTGCCCCTTCATGGAGAAGCTATTAGCCCCAGAACCAGTTATTAGCAGCACAGCCGAGCGTGTTATCTGATGGCAGGCGGCTTCCTGCGGTCGGGTGGAATCTGGAAGGAGAGGCTGACGAAGGCAGCGGGGCTCAAGGAGCCATTTGCACTTCTTGGCCCCTTCTGCTGCCTTTTGCCAACAGCATTTTTCCAATACGTTTTTCAACTTGCACAACAACCTCGGGGGGGATTTAAAGATCTGGAGGTACTGAATGAGCAGCTGAGGTCGAAAGGTCGCTCCCGTGACTGGCACGGTACGGTCAGTGCTGCAGGGGGCAGCCCGGACAAAATGGGGAATTTGCCATTCCCCATCCTATTAGAAAAGTTTGGGATCCATCTGGGCGCTGCACGCAAAGAGGGAAATCACTGAGGAGTGCAGCAGCATCGGGAAGCGCCACGTGGGGTTGGAAGGGGGACAGAGCTGAGATGGGATCAGCAGCTCCTCACCCACCCCAGCATGGAGGAAAGCGAGGAAGAGGAGTTGGGATGGGAGGAAGAGCGCACGCACCGATCCCTGGTCAAATCCCCTAAGGCAGACGGATTTCCCTGTATGGGATCTGTACAACAAAGCATCTTTCCTTATTTGTCCCGGGGTTTCGGTGCTTTGAGGCCTGGCAGACTGTGGTGTGGGCTGCACGTTGCTCTGAACCCATTGCAAAACCACCACCAGGGATTTTTGGGTCGGTGCTGAATGCTCTGACGGGACTTGCCAGAGCCTAAAGGAGTCTGAAACCTGAAGGAAGCCCCGCAGGCGGATCGAAGGTGTTTTAAAGATCAGATCAACGTGATAAATGCAATTGCAATTCCCTTCCAGCTCATCTTGCAAACAGAGGCGGTGCTGTGCGAGCCCCAACAGAGCCCAGCACCAGTTCAGCCAACGGGGAGCAGCAAAGCTGAAGCTTTGGGGTGAGAAATGGTAACAGCACAACGTCAGCGCAGGACTGATGGGCTTTATAAAATTCCTGGGAAAAAGGCTTCATCTGCGCTCACCTCGTGCACACGGAAGGATGGATGGGGCCAACACGCCCCAGCCTGCATCTTCAGCTTGTGATCACATCCCAGGGCTGCTCCCTTCCCCAGCGCTCAGCTGGAGCCGTGCTCACAGCTCCTGGCACAAACAGAGCTGCAGTGGAACGGCTGTGGGCTGCCCTGACCCCAAGCACAGGAGGAGGCTCCGCCAACATCTGCACATCACTTCTATGCAGACACAGAATGGATCTCTGCAGACACCGCAGGGACTGGGGAGAAAGCCACAGGGCTGCTCTGAGGTTACTGAGAGCACGAGGACACAGCTGGTGGGTGAGCATCTGACCATGCAAAGCAGGAGCTGGAGGTGCTGGGGATGGCATGGAGGGAGATGTGCTCCGTTGGGAGAGCACAGGGCAGCCAAACACCAACCAAAATGAAACAGAGCAAATATCAGTGCAAGACTGCTCACTGGGTGGCACTCAGGCACTGCATCAAAGCTTGGCATGCAGCATTTCAGCTGGACGTGGGGATGCCATGCAGCCCCCAAAAAGCCCCATGGGTTCCCTTCCAACCCCAGGGAGTGGCACTGAGGATGGGGGGAAGCAGAACTGCCCCTGCAGCAGCAGCTCTGCAGCCAAGCCATGCAGTGATCCGCAGGTGGGTGAGGGCTGGGCAGCACGGTGTGTGTTTAATGTGCCACAAGGCGCTCACATCAGGGCAGGAATCATCCCCAAAGAGCCCTGCAGGGCGTTGTGACCCCACTCCATTGCCAAAAGCACCCAGGATCACTCTGCAGCCATTCTCACGAGATGCAGCCTTCAAAACCAAGGGTGCAAACCTAATTCCTCCCCACTGCCTCTCCCACAGCCGTGCCTTCGCTTCCCCCACATCCCAGCTCCCATATAACGCTCTGCAATCCATCCACAGGCAGACAAACTGCAGCAGGACACTGCAAGCACATCTGGATCCTTCCCAAGGAGACTCCTCCATCCTGGCACCATGACAGGCACCCAAAATCCCCCAGCAGGGAGAGGAGGGATGCAGTGAAGCTGCTGCGGCCGCTCAATTCAGCGCCGTGTTTTTTGCCTCCCTGCTTTGCACCAACACCTTTAGACCATGCAGCACAGGGCAGGCAAGGGGAAGCACATCTCCTGCCCGTGTGCTCTAATGACTGCAGAGCTGATAAAAGCAGGGAAAGAGAGGGCAGCGAGGCCAGGAGAGGTGAATTACCCACAGGTAACGCACGGCCTCGGAGGGATGGGTGCCCCTTCTGGAGCACCACGCAGCTGACAGGAGGCAATTTTGCAGGGTGGAAGGGATGAGCTCAGCATTGCTTGGGCCATCTGAAGGGAAACATCCCGAAAACATTTCCAAACGACGCGGCTTTCGCCTTCGCCGATGGCCTGACGCTGTTCCCCTAAGTTTGCCCTGTGCTTTACCCCACGCAGATAAGATGGGTGGAAAACCACAAATATTTGCTAACGCTGCTTGCAGATTGCAGCTGTGGATCAGCCCCCAGCCCTGACCCTCACTGCTGGGCTCAGCGTGTTCCTATGGCTGCAGCTCATCCCCTCCTTGGGGACAGCGGCTGTCCTCAGCTCCCCAGGGAGTGCAGCAGGCCAGGGCTTCTGCTCCGTGTCAATTTCAACACACACAAAGCCTTCACCTTCCTGCACCTCTCTGAGAGCCCCTCAGTGCAGCACCCAGCCTGGAGGCGACGTCCCTGCAGATGTGGCTGGAGGCAATGCTAAAAGCCACCCAAGATTTAGGATGGGAGGAGGAGACAGAGCTGCCTGCACCAGACGTCAAATTAAAAGAGTGTCCACATCTGCCTCCTCCTCATCCCGTTTTGCTCTCATTTCTGTTTCAGACCCATCAGCAGAGGAGCAAACCAAGCCCATCCCAACCCGTGCCAGCAACCGCAGCCTGGGGAAGACACGAGCCCACCCCAAGAGTTCAAAGATCCACGATGCCACCTAAAAATAACAGCAGCACACCTTGTTCCCATTCATTGAACCAGCAGCAGAGGCTGCAGGAAGGCTATTTTTAGGCTCCTTGGTTAGGTTTCATTAATACAGAAACCGTTTGCTAAGGGGGGGGTTGCTTACAAGTTAACTCCGAGGCGGGCAGGCGAATCCCTCGCTGCATTTTCTGGCCCTTCCTGGGTAATTAACTGCTACAAGTCAACACGTTTCCCTTGTTAGCAACGCCGATGCCAAACGAGCTGCAGTAACCAGGGCTGGAGGCTCCCAGCCAGGCAGCCTCGTGCATTGCAGTGCTCTCCTTTTCAATAAGCTCAGTGCTTTTTCTCCCTCTGTGAGATAAGACCCATAGTATAAACATGCCATCAACGAGGACGGCTCTCCTACTGCTCTGGGTTTTGAAGCAGAAAGTGCCCAACCGTGCTGTTCCAACCAAGAAATCAGATGTGACAACAAAAAACTGTGTTTTGTGCAGTGCTTCCCACTGCTCGGCCAACTACAGGGAGCAGCATTGGCTCTTTTGCTCTGTCCAAGCATTAAACCAAAGGGAGCAGATGTTTCTGCAGGGCAGAACATAGGATGCGGACCTGCTCCAGTTTGCTTCTCCATCCCTGTGCTCTCACAAGAGAAGGATTCACCTGGTGCATTGCCTGCTCTTTGCTTTCTACCCCTCTACAGAGCACAGCTGTCGCTTTACAGGATTTAGGGGCTTCCTATTCCTCAAGATCTGTTTGATCTCTGGGGCTTCTGGACATTTAGGCATTTTTTTCATCAAGTTCTTTGCAAGTTCTGACTTGCAGATTTGCACCCCGTGCCACCGGGTGCTGTTTGTTCTCTGCCCAGCACATAAGGAAACTGTCAGCGCTTCCATTTTCCAAGCCAGCTCTGAATTTTCAAGCCCATCAATCATAGGACAGGCTGTCCTGTTTGCAGTCTCCTAGCAGAGGGCTGTTATTTTGGTTTAAACTCCCGAAGTCTCGGGGCGTAGAAAGCACGCATGTGTAGGAGGAAGCGTGCCAACCAGCTTTTATTTTTAAAAGCTGCTTATCTATAAATACAGTTGAAAAAAAAAATAAATATTTGGACAACATTAGCCTGTTTGGATTGGGTTAAAAAGTACTTTACTTCCCTCTGCTATTTGTTTAAGTCTCTGCGGTGCACGTGGCGGGATGGACGGACCCGTGCTGCAAAAACAGGGGCCTGAAAATAAAGTTATTGCAGAGCAAAAGGTGGAACGATGGAAAACGACTCGCTGAGAGTGCAGCTCCCCATCCCACACCATCAGCACCCAGAGGATCTCCAGCTCTCCCTGCTCGGCCACGTGCTGCAGGAGGATGATGACTTTGCACGGACAGGACGTGAATGGGCTCCATCCATGAGTTAATCAGCAACAGCCCCGGATGTGCTCACCGTGCAGCTGCCCCTGACTGCCAGCAAAGCCAGCTCATTAATGCCTCAATCATTAAATGAACCCAGCGCAATCATTACCCACGCCGTCCCCTGCCCTTTGCATCCTCTTCGAGCCCTCGCACGGCTTTCAGAGCTTTGAGCACAGAGGTTTGAATTGAGAAGGAGGAGAAGGGCGCTGAGGCTGAGCCTTGCACACAGAATCACAGAATGGCCAGGGTTGGAAGGGACCTCAAGGATCATGAATCTCCAACCCCCTGCCACACGCAGGGCCACCAACCATCCCACCTAATGCTAGACCAGGCTGCCCATCCAATCTGGCCTTGAACACCTCCAGGGATGAGGCATCCACAGCCTCTCTGGGCAGCTGTTCCAGCACCTCACCACTCTCTCTGTAAAGAATTTCCCCCTGACATCCAACCTAAATCTCCCTTCCCATAGCTGAAAACCATTTCCCCTTGTCCTGCTGTCGCTCACCCTTTCAAAGAGTTGATTCCCCTCCT